TCCACATAATTTGAACACATTACAAGCCAGCACCATTTTATGCACTGTTACCAGGTGGTGGTCATTCCAGATCAGGCTGTGGTAAAAAAAAAAAAAATACGACAACAGTTTAGGGCTTAAACTGCTGCCAGTACAGCTTTTAGGGCTCTAGGTTCATGAGCCAACAGTGCATGCACAGCTCAACATGCACCCTCATAAACATAAAGCCTTAGTCCTGAAGGGGTCCGAGGGGGGATTAAGCCATCGCTTGAATGGCTGCTAATCTGGTTAATTAGGATACTATAGATGCCATACAATAGGAATGATAGGAGAAAGAAAATGTTGATTTGAAATGAATATCTGCTGCACAGTATTTCCTATATATAATTCATCAAATCATTAATCAATTATCATTCATATTGTCTGCAGGATACTACTACTACTAGTAGTAGTAATGTTTTTACGATTACAATAGGGATCATTTTCCTAACTCTATAAGTCACTTTCAGGATGAAAATGATAATACGATAAACTACAAAGAAAGATTGAAGTTATTAACCCTTGCCGATCATTCAACAGCTACCAACTAGTTTGCAGTGAATTTAATCATCTTCTCACCCATAATTGGGGGGGGTTTCCACTACCAACAGTCCACGAGCAAGTGTGTCCAAACGTTTGACTTAAACTGCACGGACAGTGATTATCATGAAAATAAATACTTGTAACATGTGACTGCACTATATCATATTCATTTTGTGTGTGTGTGTGTGTGTGTGTGTGTGTGTGTGTGTGTGTGTGTGTGTGTGTGTGTGTGTGTGTGTGTGTGAGTGAGTTACAGTCTCTGTCCCCCAAAGTGGGAAATATGCGAATGAAATGAGTGTGAAATAACTGTGTGTGTGTGTGTGTGTGTGTGAGAGAATGTGTGCGCTGCGGTGACGTGCCGTCACTGGAGGCATGAAATCCCAAATAATGATTAAAAAATATATATTATACATATTTGTGTACTGATCTGTGATAGGAGTGTACTTTTTTTATAGTCAACATCGCAGAATTTGTGTATTTTCCGGTTCAAAAACGGATATACGTTATGGCTCACTTTAGTACACCAAGTGACTCGCTCTCAACCAATCACAACGTTTTATATCATTATATTATAAAAGAATATACGATACGGGATATGAAACAACCAGTAGTCAATGTGCAAGCAGCCAGTTGAATGGTGAATTGATGCACACTTTGTTGAATACCTCACCGCATGTCACTAGTGTGCTGTTGCAGTAAAAGTTAAATACATGCTACCCCCTAACTCATCTGGATCCCCCCCTTTAAATGCTCAACATAATTCATCATTGTAGAATCGTTTTTATTTGAAAAGTACAGTTTAGCGTGCAACTGAGAGCTCGTCTGAGTTTCTGCAGGGTCTTCTGCGAATGCTTTACGACCGCCATCATTAAGATGGAGCCCAATGATAATCAGTCTGGCTTATTACGTTAGTAGTGACTGGCAGTGACCTCACTCTCTAAGAGAGTACGGGTCCAAAAACAATGTCTGGATTCCCGACAATCATTTGGAGCTACTATGAATAAACAGTACGTGTGTGTGAGACAGGATCTGGAATCATTTTGGTTAGATCCATAGAGTTTGTTAATTTGCTTTTTAGCTGCTAGTATTAAATAATATATTTTGAGGTAAAATGAATTATTTACTGTTGAAACCCCGCCATTTTTATCAAGGTCCAGTTAAAAATACATTTTGACTAGAGAAAAAAGTACATACAATATAATGAGCAATGGAAAGGACCACCTCTGCAGATTCTGCTCTTAGTGATTAATATTCAGTGATTTTCTGTAAATACATTTTTGTTTTTGAATGTTAGCTGTAAAATACAAAAGACATGGGCTGTAGAAACCGCAGTCATTCTTTATTACTCTCTATTTTCTGACATTTAATATACCAAATAAAGAATAAAGTCAAATAATTGTCTGATTAAACTATCATAAAAATGGTTGCTATTTGTTGACCTTTTACGTGGTATTGAACAACAACAATAAAAAATTTGTGATGCAGCGTAGTGATGCTGACAGTCAACTGCTGCACAACCTTATGGAGCTCTATGCTGAATTGCGTCCTGTTACGCTTTCTCAGTCTTCATGAAACAGTGACATTTTGTTGCAATAAAAGATTTTTTTTTTAGCGGAGGCAATTGTCTGTCAGTCTGCGGACAAAGAAAATATCAATTTTGTCCTGGTTCCCGTGAGGTGGGTCCCTCATTTTGTTGTCACCGGTGTCCCGTATTTGCCGGCTCTCTCTTGTGCCTTTCACACATACCCATTTCTAATTCTCTTATCTTCAGCCAGCATCCTTCCAATTGTTATCATGTGAAAAGGATCTGATATGAATTGAATGGCAAGGGGAACATTTTGCTCTCAGGCTGCTTATGAAATCCCACTTCATTCGCCCACATCGGCACAGCGAATTCCCCCAATTCTGCACTCAAGTGTTGGTATCTTTAAATCAAACATGACATATTGATTAGGGGAACTTGTTGGGCACAATGTGCTGATCCAAATGCTCCAATTAAGACTTACTTTACAGGATCCATATCTCAGTTTGTCCAGGGATTTACATGATGTACAAGACTTCATACAAATGCAATCGAACCAATTGCTTTGGAGAGCTTTTAACTTTGCCTTATCCCTGAAATACTTCCACTCCGAATTGTGTGACTGGAAAAACAACAAAGTAGTCCAATGCAAAGTGTTTTAAAATATCTTCAAAATTAAACTTGTATTATGGATTTATTGTGTCCATGTGATGTTTTTTGAAGCTTTCTCTCTGCTGGCTTTCTAATGTAATAGACCACATCTGTCATTTTTCACTTTAGATGTTTTTCTGTAAATCTTGGATGCTGCTCATTTGTTCTATTTGGGGCTTCTGTTATTCCGTCTCTAGGTGGGATCTGGTCCCCATTCATCCCTGTGTGGTTTGACAAACAACCTCCGTGGACTTGAAAATCAAGCGTGTGATGGACAATCAACAGCAGAGAATGGTGTCACGTTATCCCATTGTTGCAACTGCAAATTGATTTGGAAAGCCAGCAGACGGAGACTCGCTGTGATGGATTTCCCGAAATCCTTCCAGTTTCAAGTCAGTGAGTCAGAACAAGTCATGTTCTGAAACGAATAGCACCAAATGATGCCTGGAGGGTTATAGGAAAGACACAATGAAAAACTCTGTGGAATGCTTCGGGGAAATGATTGGCACTAATGTAAGGTTAATGGGCTAAAATATGCTGGTACGGTACGTCTGAAGACTAAAAGCAACTATTACCTGTATTAAAACAGTTAAAAGCTCATTTTGCTTTTGTTGGAAGGAATAAAATCTTGTTTTCATCTTAATATCAAAGTAAAATGTTAAACGTACGGTTATTGAGCAGCAAAATGTTGCACACTGCACTTTAGTTGAAACAAACAGAGAAACATCATCATTGCCAACTGGCCAAACAAACTGTGAGGGAAGAGCATTCTGCTTCTTGATTAGTTTCACTGTTTTCACTTGGCCAACAATTTCTCTCAATCAGTTATTATACATAGTGGCTGTTAATTGTTTCTGCGTGTTTTATTAATAGACTAAGGCCTCTAACAATAACTTCATTATCACAGTTGCCAATGTCCTTATGTTTTGAGTTTAGAGGTGGGACGCTGATCCCTGTTGCACATTCATCAGGCGGGTGCATGATTTCGGTCGCGCGGCGTCGTATGGAACATTTTATGCTACGGCTCAGGTCCTTGGTACACTGTCGTATGAAGACATGCATTCAAACGAAAAAACACCACCCCGTGAGACGCTGCCACTGACCCTGCTAGACTGTAAACACACTCCTGCCTGTGTAGACGCTTACATCACTTGTTCCATGCAGAGTTTTTATTAAGCCGCCACATCAACAGTGAAGCGCTGACATACACTTCTGAAGCTTGTGAAAGGAAGGTCCTGCTGGTGGGCTGTTGGCAGGCAAAAGAATTTACAAAAGCAAAAGACAGACGCACCGTCTCTTGTGAGAAAGGGGGAATATTTTACCCGTTGAGAGACGGCTTATCTCACTGTGGGCACCTGTTGCCATAGTAACAGGAGCTGGGAGTTTCCGTCAGGTTGGCTGGTCACCGGTAGGTGATCATGGGAGATGAAAGGGGGACCAGAGAGGGGAATGCAACCTTCTTGCCACCGCCTTCAACCCTGGCTTACTTAACACTCCGACTGGCGCTCCCTCGCTTTCGCCATCGGGCCCGAGGGGGGGTCGCACCTGCCCCTCGTGCAAGCGTCCATAGCTGGGTCACAGGCAAAAAAAAAAACACTTCATGGTGCGCTGAATATTTACCGGGGCAACAGCGATTGTACTGAATTATGATACCGTAAGCACCAGCTGGAGCACTTATGTAGACACTTGATGTGAGCTGCTTTTATCTGCACCAGAAACACTTTCACCCGTGACACCTTATCTCACCTTTGAGTCCATTTAATATTCTACCCAAAGCCACATTTCCAGCGATTCCCTATTTCCGGTCTGACATAAACACACATATTTCATCCCGACACTCTCTTCTAACACGCCGCGTCTCGAACGTGCGTCGTCCACCATCTGTCCTGTCCTTTCTCAGTCTCCTCTCCTCACTCGGGCTGACTATTGAAATCACCAGTCTGACAGACCACCTACTCACCCACCACCACTGTGCATCCCTGATAGCCGGAGCTCCGACACATGGAGGAGCTCACCGTGACATAATCCTCCTCTTTGTGTCAAAACTGGACTAACATTTGACGGGCAGGAAGACCGTTAATCCGCCACGCCAAGGGAGCCGACTTCAGCGGACGTGGGTATGTGTGTGTGTGTGTGTGTGTGTGTGTGTGTGTGTGTGTGTGTGTGTGTGTGTGTGAACAGGTGACACGATCTGTCACCTGGGGAACCTGTGGACGCTCGGGGCAGAATGATGTGATGCTTTTTCCAGGTGTCTGTGGAGACTCACTCTTGACAGTGGCGGTCCTGGTGCAGTTGTAGAGGATAGCGAGCTCCCCAAACACCTTTCCCGGCCCCATGGTGCAGAGCTTCAGACTCTCCTTCGTCACCTCCACCTTCCCGTCTGAAACATGCAAAGAAATACATGTAGGCCATTAAGCATATTTGAGATTCAAATTATACATTTTCATTTTTCCCGTCTGATTAACCAAGTGTGAGAGTCCTCGGCTACATTTAATATGAGCGGCTAAAAAAAAAGTTTGGGTCATGAAATGGAGTGGATGATAGGTGACTGGGGGCTTTTGCTTCATTTTGGGGGGGCACCCAGCCAGTACCATTGACTCCCTGAGCTGGAAAGAAATAAGATTATTTCAGTGGGGACTTTCCAAAGGCTATTGGCCTCTTACCAAGCCTGTATGCGTCACATTGCACTCCACCAGTACCACTATGTGAAAGGGCTAAAGAAGGTAACACTCCAAAACTCATTAAGGTAAGAACTTTTACATTCAAACGCAATCTAAAGTCACCATTAAGATCAGGTGTATTTCTGCAATAAAAAACATCTACCGTTTACGTTTTTATTATAGTCATATCTAATATATTTTTTGTAAACAAAGCACCTTTAAATGTAGAAACATGCTCCTACAGAGATACATATAAATGTCTTGGCGAACCTACGCAGAGAAAGGTGTTATTTGTCACTGAAGGTCGGAGAAGAGCCAACGTGCACACTTCCCGAAAGCTACGTCCGGTCGGAAAAAGTTCTTTATTTTTCTTAGTTCTGTCACAAGTGAGCAACACTATGGTGAAATGTACAAAAAGTAGAGCCTAGGAATCTCAAGCTCTTTGTCCCACGTCATAACGCAGCTCATCTCTGTGTCCCGTCCGTTTATCTTTATGAATAACAACTCTTTCGTGTCTGATTTTCACAGATGGTCCTTGTTTCCAAGTTCGCCAGGGAAAAAAGTAATGTCCCTTTCCCAATTAACTGTCCATTTTCTTCTCAACAATGACACTAAAGTAGAGAACTTTACGCCCCAAATCTGTACGTGGATAAAAGAAAAACATACACGGAGGTGTCTGAAAATCTGCTGTGTGTTACGATAACGTTCAGCCCGGAGAAGCATATCTCCAGTCTGTCAAAGCATGTAAATCCATCCAACCTTTGCCCATGTGACAGGGGGGTTTGGCCGCTACCACTGTGTTTACAAAAAGCCTCGTCAAGCATGTCCACTTTCCTGGAAACGCAGCATTCCAGCAGGACCATAAACCGGACTCCCAGAGAGCAAAAAATCCCAAAGAAAACAGTCAAAGTCGGCTCAAGGCTGCTGGCGAAACACTGTCTGATAATAAGAGCAGGCGAGTCATCCGAGGAGGAAGCAAGAGGAGACACTTTATCTTGTTGCAGAAGGCCGTGAACTCCTTTGACAAAAAGCCTCCAGAAAACGTGCCATGTGTTAAGGCTAATTATTATCTCCCCTTTGTGTTTTCCAGCTTATTAGGACAGTAGTGCAGCTTTTACATTGTGGTAAACAACACAGGTTCCACCAACAGCAGGATGAAACTACACACGCTATCTTCAGTTCTTGAACTGTGTCACTTTCTCACCGTCCCTGCTGTTATATGTGAAGTATATTATATACTTATATGTATATATAAATATAATATATTTATATATAATATATAAAAAAAATTGTGTTTCAGTTTTAAATGTAAACTGAATCGCTCATTCTCTTTTTTTACTCCTTTTGAAACTAATTCATGTTTCTGCTTTCATGAGCCTGAAATGGAAAAAGTCCCGTGTACGTTGGGACTTTGCTCAGGAAAGAAAGGATCACTTGTTCAAAAGAGCAACTGTAAAACGTGTCGTAAACCGGGTAACGCTGAATACATTTCAGTAGCGTCAATGAGCCAAGTCTATTGTGTCTTTTATTATTGAAGTTGATTTGCTGCAACAGCCACAACAGCCATTGAGAATCTAGTAGCCCAACAAATATGTGCGATACTAATTAAAGGACTGTGAGGGGTGTTGAGATGATGATTTCAGCCGTCACCTCCCAAAGGCCCTGAGTACGTAATTAAAAACTCCCCAACATAGGTGAAAAGAAGCTAGAAAAGAAGGAAAATAGCAAATCCATGAGTTGCAACTTGGATATTCTTTTTCAGGAGAAAGATACAAAATAGATAGCAATGTACAATGTTGTTTAAAAGTTTGTATTGCCTGCAACAAAATCTTGTTGAGACTTCATGCATTCAAAGGTTGTAGAATTCCTTTTTTTTTACAATTTTCTATAAAAAGCTTTGCAAAGTACATGGAGAACAAAACAAAGTTCAATAAAAGGTTTTAATGGACTGACAATTAAAAGTGCAGAATGAGACAAAGATCCTCCTGAAACTGGATAAATTAGTCAATTGTAAAAAAAAAAAAAAGCTGGAGCTTTGCAATCAAATGTGTTCAAATTAAATTAGGACTGAGTTCCTGTTTCAGTGTCAAGCGCACATAAAGTCAATAACAAGGTGAATAATTAGAAAGTGTGCTGCTTAAGCTAAGGTAATTTCAAGACATCACAACATCAATAGAAAACAAAGCGGAACACAATTTGCACTGACATGCAGTGACTCAAAAACTTTTTCAGTGTATAATCAATATCGATAACGGCTGCCCTTTTCAAAAGGAGACAAGACACCGCACACAAGACACACATAAAGTGCAGTGAAGGGCGGCCTGACGTTTAATAACAGCAGTGTTTGTGTAAAGACCAGAACAAACACACATAAGGGAGAAAAACGCGTAACGCTTCGCAGAGGACAACGCTCACAACCTCCAGGTGGATGACCTTGTAATGAATGGCTGAGAGGTGAGTAGATGGAGCTTACTGATTGTTTTGGATGACCCGCTGGCTGCAGGCTGTGAGGGAATGACTGGGGGAAATTAAGTAATCCAATTATTAAATGATTTGCAACATAGCAAATAAATTGCTATTCAGAGGTTCCCATGAATGTATCCACACCTGCCAACATGTGATCCGCCTCATTTCCTGTGTGTGTGTGTCTGCTTCGTCCCACTTCTTTATTTGAATGGCGCCGCATTCACGTGTAATTCAACGCTCATACGCGGGCTCTACTCAAATCTCATTCAAATAGCTGCACCACAGGCAAACACATGCCTTCTCAGACGGGCGATCTGATACCAGAGAACAGGAAATTTACATCTCACAGGGCCATTTAGCAACAGCTGTTTACTGTCCTGTCTACAGACAAATTCAAAACGCGGAAAATATCACCTGCACAACCTTTCAATGTGTCCCCAGCATGTATTCTCCCCCCGTGGTGGTGTAGCTGTGTTGATAGCTGATTATTTGAATGCACGCAGCGGGGCATCGGGACAGACGGATGAGGCAGACTTCCCTCTGGCTGAAGATCACATGCCATTCTGGCTGCTTCCCAACTCAAAAAGATGCTGTCTTTTTGGCTGACTTTACCTCACACTGGTTAACGCAGATGTGCTCCATCTAACCCTTTCAGAGGAGTTATATTAATAATCCTCTACGAGCAGAAGGATGTCTGACCGAATTCAAATATTATTTATACTAAGAGGAATTTTAGACTAAACGTGATCGCTACGATTAACAGTTGGAATCAAATTAAAGGCATTCTTCTAATTAGTCTACTCAGTTATGCCTCTGTGAGCTGCATGTGACGAAATGTTCTTAGAAGGAAATGTTCTTAGAGGGAAATCTTTTTCCGCGCATTTCACACTGAGGCCATTAGGCTGCTTCTATAAATAACACTTGGGTCAGGCGCAGGATACAGTTTAATTCTCACTTCCTTCATTGACGGTTTTGATGTTTTCCAAGCAGCACAAAAAAGACATGAAGAAACAGGATGCAGGGGAGTTCAAACTCCCTGGAGGATCACATATAACCACTATATCCCATCTTGTCGGGCCTCGTTCTCCGGCCACTGTCCACGGGTCTGATTTCCCGATACCATCCCCATCCATTAGAGCAGCACTGAAAGTAGATCAAGCTCCAACATCATTGCCTCCTGATCCCAGTGGAAATATGCGGTCATTACCACTCGAGGTACAATTCTAAAGTAGACACTTCATTAAAGGGGACGTCAGGTCAGCGATGCTGTGTCCGTGTGGAAAAAAAAATGCGTCGGACCGTTTGAATGCCTTTGTGGTGGAAAAAAGAGGAAGAAATGGCACACAAAAATCAGTCAACAGCCGTCGGAAAATAAAAAATAAAATATACAAGATGAAGGCCACAGCTCTTTGTAAATTCAGGCTAAAAAGAGTTATTCAGACATCCATCCATCCATCCATTGTCAAACCGCTTATCCTGCACACAGGGTCGTGGGGGGGGGCTGGAGTCCATCCCAGCCAACTTCGGGCGATAAACAGGGTACATCCTGGATTGGTCGCCAGCCAATCGCAGGGCGACACAGAGACACACAACCATTCACGCATCTACGGGCAATTTAAAGTCCCCAATTGACCTGATCCCCAGAGCATGTCTTTGGAATGTGGGAGGAAGCCGGAGAACCCGGAGAGAACCCACGCAGACACGGGGAGAACATGCAGACTCCACACAGAAAGGCCACTGGGCGGAATCGAACCCAGGACCTTCTTGCTGTGAGGCAACAGTGCTAACCACCACGCCACCGTGCCGCCCGTTATTGAGACATCTGGATCAAAATGATTAAATTGTGTTTGGGTTTGAAGCTATTTAATGGCTTATTATAATGAAACATTTTTGTCCAAATAAGTCCTGATCACAGAACTGGGACCACACAGCATATAGGCACAAAGCACGCATTATTTTCAAGAAAGTCTAATAGTTGTAACCAACAGCAAAAAATAACACAAAGAAAACAAAGAAGAGCAACATCCCTGATGTGTCATTAATCAGTGAAGAGCCGCTCAGAATGGGAGAGACTGAAAATGAAAGTTGTTGTTTCAGAGAATCCCTGTTGTGTATAACTGCGTGCTGAAACAATACGAGCAGCAGGATGATGCCTGCCTGATGACAGCCAGTGTTTGACGGCTGTTTACTTTGACTTGTGGAATGCAAATGTTGAGAAACTTTTAGACAGTGAGTGGTTTCTTCTGTACCCAAC